CATATCTCTTCTTCAATGAGTTTGGATAATAAGTACAATTTTATGGCTTTTAAAATGATAATATTTTCGGTCAAATAAGAACCCTAAAGAATGAAAGAAAGCGTTGATGCATCTGATATCAATCTAGAATTTCGACAGTCTTTCTCACTGTAGATTTTTGTTTTATGTCGGTTGGTTGTTTAATTCCATGTTTCTAAAATTAAATATTCTAATTATAGAACTTGACAAAGTCGTCGTGGTCTAACGTTAAAAGATTTAGGGATAAAACTTTTAAATTCGATTTCCATTGAAAATAGTTTCACTCTTGTTTCACCAATCAAAATGGTCTTATTTTTCACTTAAATGCGTTAAAAAAACCGATAAATAAGATATTTGACAACTACATTCATCATGAAAAAACTAATTTAGTAAAATATTAAGGGTCAATTTGGTTATTAACCAAAAATAAAATAAAATATAATAACTAACCATGGCTATGATTAGTGTTACATAGAGTGTTTTGCTTAGTTATTATGTTTTCATTTTTTTCTTCGTTATATTTGCCAATTTCCCAAATATTAATCTAATATCTGCATGAATCCTTCTACTAATAGAAAAAGATATAAAATCCACTGATGAAATGTTTGTTTTGGAATTCTTTTACGTTGGTGTGCTTAATTAGTTAAGTATGGTAAATATTGATGATGTTCGGACATCGGAATATGAGGTTCCTCCAACTTAATCAATGTAACGAAATTTGACACACAAAATACCAAAGGATAAAAGGAAGCTCGTACCAAAGACTTATCTTCGAAAAACTTGAGTCTTGTTCCAATTTAAGATAATTATTTTGTGGCCACTAGAGACTTAACAGTGGAGAGCATTTTTGGTGTAGACACCACATATAAATGTTCACAACTCTAAATCCGCCATTGGCACCACCGCCATGTTGTTGGATAAATCCGCAAGTAGAAAATAACGTCGTATATCCTTTAGTCAAACACTCCTCATGACTACTATCATATTAACCAAACACTCTTCATAATACAATCTCTATAGCCAAACATAATTAATTTCATTAAATTTAAATCTAAAAATGTTAATTAAAATATTATCTAATTAGCAAACACATTTAAAATTAAAATAATTATAATCTCAATTACCAAACACATTAGAATATTTATAAACGTGCCTAAATTAGTTATTCAAATATTGTAATATTAATCATTACCATTAAATTATTAAAAATATTACTATTCTTATAATTACCCTAAATAGGATTTAATTTATATTTGCAATCTTCCATTTTATATATTTGAATCATAAACCGTATTTTGAAGATTATGATATTAAACAAATATATTTATTAATAAGTGATATAAAATAACTAAAATATTATTTTTTAAAAAAGGAAATAACGGGTGTAACACAAATCTATAAAAAATAATTGTAAAATTTATATATATAAAATAAATTTTAGATTTCTATTAGGATAGCACCTAAAACTATTTATGAACAATTAATTAAATCCAAATTTGTATTTTAAAAATTATATTATCACTCTTATAATTACGCTAACCTATAAGATTCAATTCATATTTGTGATTTTTTATTTTATATATTTGAGTCATAAATCGTATTTTTAAAGATTAAAATTAAATAAATATATTTTATTAATAAGTGATATATATTGAAAAAAAAACTAAAAATTTATTGTTTTTAATTATTTCACGAGTGTGATACATTTATATACAAAATAATTATAAAATTTATATGTGTAAACGAGTTATAGATTTCATATAATAATTTTTTAATAATTATATATTATTTTTTTAAACTAAAACTATATTGATTTTATTCTGCATATCATATTATCATGTGTATAACACGGATAACTATTTAGTTATTATTAAATCACGACATGCACATGTTTGTAACAGATATATGTTACAACTTTATCGCACATAAAACTGTTGTGTATAGTGGAATCATTTGAAGAACTTGAACTTGGCTTAGTTTTAAATGGATGCAACCAACAAAAGTGAAATAAAAACAAAAATGCGGTCGGTCGTCAAACTTAACGGCCTAATAATCAAAGTCACCCATTCCATTTGTATTTCACGTGTGGGGACTCAAACAAATATTTTTTCCTGCAAATAAATTATTTTTATTTTCCATATTTAACTGTTTTGCTGCATCCGAGACAATGCTGCATGGAATCAGAAGCAGGTATGCGAAAACAAAAGCGTTAAGAAGCGTGGAATCGCATTTTTAAAAAAATTTAGAAAGCGGATACATATTGA